CTATTGAATCTTTCAAGCAGAGACTCGAAGAAACCTTGGCACACCTCACATTCGTACACCACTAAAAATAAACACAAATTCACTATAGCCTACATTCCCTATTATCTCCTACCCTGAACTCTATGTGACTTCTTTTTCGGCGTGAAACGACTCTTCTGTGTAAACATCCAATGGGGACAAGAGAAGCATGAGCTTGTAAGTTTTCCCCATAATAAAACTTTGACTTTGCCTATTTCTGCTTCCAGATCGATTACCATCTATGTGAGAATCTAATCGGCAAGTGCGCTCTCCTCCCACTTCGATTAGTTCAATCATGTTATCCGTGTATAGACGCCGTCCGTTAATATCCACATGCTTTCCTCTCTCTTAAGGCGCTGATGCAGGCGCTTGGTTGAGGTGTGCTTCTTGTGTGTTATTTAAGGCTATTTCTATCGTCGGGACAACAGTTTATTTCGTTAAAGTACTCTGATCTACACAGTGCTCACTTCTACTTCAAATTCCTATGCGGACTTGGCATACTGAGGATAACGAGAAGAAAGTTGATGCATTATCTCACTTGCGTCTCCAGTATTTAAATGGCTTGAAATGAACAGTCTCTAACACTATCTCCGATATTAGCTGCCTGACAGGGGAAGCCTAACCTAGACTGTGATCAACACCATGTATACCACACGTTTCTGCTCTTTTCAATCCCCGTTTGGTTGTCACTACCAATAAAGACTTGCACTGTTTGCAACTGTCTTTTAACTGGGATCGTTGGGATGCGCATCGAGAAACCAGGTTCGGTAATAGTTTAGCGAGACACAACACTGCCCATGCCCGGTTACTAGCCGCCAGGTACGCACACATATTGCGAATCTGTTGTCGTCAAACGTAGACTGTTTACCGTCCTCAGTTTTCCGTGTTAGTCCATCTCATTGAAGATTGGCATTCTGAACCTTCTTTTGAAGAACTTCATCGTCTGTCTAATGTAACTGCATAGTTTTACCGGGTGTATGATATAATTAGGGGATTGGTTTAATATGGTTTATATGCCTTGGTTAATGATCCACGGTATCGAACCTGTACACGCATGTACGTGGAAGCGCAGAGCCGTAGCCGTGGCACGTTACAGAGTCATTGCTATGCCTTTGTGTCTTTTACCCGGAGGCCATTACTTGGATAGACTCATTAGTTCATAATTGACTATCGGAGTGATCGCTTCTATTCACGACCTGGAGGTGTCTCCGGTGGCGTTCAGCTGGACTATCTGCGGTTATCATCAGATACGGCTTGCCGATAACTCTTCGATTCGCAGACCGGGAAATTGAGGTAATAAAGTTTCTCTTTCAACTCCAGTTGCAGTGAGAGTGAGAGCTTGCCCAACCCAATCCTGCAACGACATTTTAAAGGTTGAAGGCGAAAAACGAACTTAACCGGGTATGGTTCAACTTATAATCAAACCAGTCCAAAAAACTTGTAGTTTACTTGAATCTTCACTCAGCAACATGCATCCTGAATATTCGAGGTCGAGCAGCTTACCTCATGAGAACACGGATTAAACAAGCCCCACGGGAGGACAGATGCGTTTCTAAGATTTCTAAAATTATGTCCATCAGCAGGTTGAAGAAAGAGGGAGCTACGGGTAACTCAGATTAGGATCACTTTCACGGTAAACTCGGAGGACAAAGAGCCGCAAGTTCACATGCAGATTTTGTAGTAGACAATGCTTGCAGTATATACTCATTTTACATGCAAACATGATACTCTGAATCTTACAGACTTGTTGATATAACATGGCTCTTTTCTCTTCTCCCCACGTATTTAGGTTATCGGTTATCTGCCTATACCGGTTGGTAAAGTTGGTCCTCTACTGTTGGACGGACATTCTCACTATGTTCCATTGGCTACTACCGAGGGTTGTCTCGTGGCCAGCACTAATCGGGGTTGTCGTGCTCTATTCTTGGCTGGTGGGGTGAAAAGTGTCCTGTTTCGGTAGGATATTATTGTGTGGACAATCACATTGCGTTGTTTCCAATTTATCAGCATTTGTCCC